TCTTGAAGCACCTTTCAAATTCACAATTCACAAAAAAAGGAGTACATATAGAAGAAAAAAAATAGCAAAAGTTAAATCAATCAAATATGAATCAATTAAAATATTCTCTGGCAAAGCAATAAGGCTATCCTTGAGAATATAACAAATCTCTTAATAAGTAATAATTATACTCCTATAGTAACAGAGATCAAAGTCTGGAACCTAAACACAAAAAAAAAAGCAATATATTATAAACCAATCACAATTACAATTGATACCTTACTAATACAAAACAATGAACAAAGTTCTTTAGGGAAATTGAAGAAGACTTGACCAAATATCCAATAACATAAGGATCAACTAATAAAAAATAAAATGTCTTATACAACCATATTCTTAAAGTAGCAAAAAACTATATTCCTAAAAGGAAACATCATTATAAAAAGAGAATACATCTAGATATACATAAACAAGAGGACCCTTTTATAAAACTACAAAGTGAAAAAACCAAATCCAACAAATTTATGAAGATACCATATCAGTTGTGATCAAAATACCAGAACCAATAGAAAATCCCTTCTCAGATCTGGTGGCACAACTCAAAAAAATTTAAAAAGAATATCCAAAGAAGTATTCTCAAGAATAGATAAATATAATTCATTAAAACATCATGACATACAAGATTGTGAGGAAAGATATTACAAATAAAAAACAAATAAGAATCATATAACAAAGAATTGTGATTTGACAGACATTTCTAGCAAGCAACAAAAGAGCAATAATTGATAGTATCCTGAAGTAACCATATAGAAAGATAATTCTAGACAAGTTAATAGAAAGGAGTGAGGAGATAAATATCATCACTGACCCCGAGACAATAAAAAACAAAGTCCGACAACACTACTACACCTGAACTCCAGCAAGAAAAACTCAACCCCTATGCAATTATCCATTCTGGAAAAGAGAATACAGATCAAAGGATAAAATCAAGAAGAAAATATATATACCAGTATTACAAGATATATTCTTGAAAGAAATAAAGGAAATAATTAGAAGCTGTAGTGCCAAATCAGTCCCAGGTACAAATGAACTTCTATATATAGCATACAAGAAACTTGGTGACAAGATCTTGAAAACAATTTAAACAATTTTCAACCAAATACACAAGCATGGAAAAACCTCAAGAGAATGGAGTAAAGGAATGATCTATTCAATCCCCAAGCTAAAAAATTGGGAAAACAACTTAGATATTATATACTCTATCACCTTACTAGACACTGGTAGAAAAATTTTTACAAAAATTATAATAAATAGGCTGGTCAAATATCTTAAAAAGTACAATATACTGTTTGAATTAAACTGGATAGCACTTCCAGGAAGTAGCATTCAAGAACCAATACACATTTTAAATAATATTATTGAATATGTCAAGGAACAAAAAAAAAAGTTTGGATCTTAAGCCAAGACATATTGAAAGCATATAATTCAGTAAACATAAGGATGCTGACTAAAGCAATGTACTAAATAAAGATTTCACAATAGATGATCAACATCCTGACAAATATGCTAGAGAATAGACAAAACATCATACTCACCTGCTATGGATCTATAGAGGTATACCATATAAATGATGGCATCGACCAAGGAGATACCATCTCTCTCTTACTGTGGAGAATTTTTTATGATCATCTTATTACAATAATCAAAAAAGAATTCAAAGAATACTCAATTATGTCTAAAAGTTGCATCAATCTAGAAATAGAATAGAAAAGAACCCATATAAACATGGTAGTAAATGCTTACATGAATGACACAACCTGGATTATAAACAATAAAACAAAGCCCCAACAAATAGTGAAAAGAGCAGAACAATTCTATCACATCAACAACATTCAAGTTAACTCTCAAAAGTCATAATTGATTATAATAAATGGAAAAAAGAGAGACTATAAATCAAGGGTAATAATGAAACAACAAATAATCCAAAGAGCACATTAGTTAGAATTTTGGGGGTCTGGTATAACAACTCAGGAAAAAAAGAATACCAGAAAACACTTATGCAACAGAAAGTCAGGAAAACTAGGACACTTATGGGAATTAAGAGTGTAACAGACAAATAAATACAATATATAGTGAATCACATCCTATTACCCAGTATAGAATACTTATGCAATGACATAATACTAACAGAGAAAGAATATAACCTCTTAATGAGTAGTATAATAACAATATATAAATATAAACTGGGTCTACCCAAAACTATGTCAAACAACATGATATACAACAAATATGAGTATGATCTCTTTCATATTTGAGACAAATAACTGCTCCTATATGCAAGAAATTGGTTAGCAAGAATAAACAATAATAACATAATAGGAGAAATTGCAAGAGCGAGACTTAAAGAATTATATAATAAGTTTTGGTCAACCAATAATGTATGTAGCCATTTAACTCAACTATTTAGGAGACAAGAGGTAAATTTGACACATGATATTATCTGATTATTAAGAAAATATAACATCACTTTCAAAACACATAAAGAGAATCCCATACCAATCACAATAATAAAAATAGATACTATTATTGAAACATCATAAGCAAAGCTTTTTATAATCAAAATTGACATAAATTACAAAAAACATGGGCTTCTATTTATAGGACAACCAATGAATACAAACAAAACTAAAACTTTGCACTAATGTTAAATCATCAAATTCAAAAGAAAACCAACTTCCAATCCAACTCTAACCTGGTTCCATACTATAAAAAACCTAATTAATAATCAATTAGAAAAGAACAAATTTGTCCAAGTACAAGAAACTAATATCTTTCTCTAGTGCACCTCAACAATTAATCAAAATATAGTGAAACCTTACTGGATATGTACTAAGCAAAATCAGGAAATTATAATAGGAAGAAAACAGAAAAGAATAAATCAAAATAACATACTTTACAAATATTACATATAAGAAAAAAAGCAATTTCCAGTATAGGCTTGCATTAGATATCCAAAAAATATATAGCAAAACCTGGAACAAGTAACAAAATATATTTTCAGTATAGCAATACAATAGACAGTTAACATTTCAGTATATAAAAGCAAGATATTATATAAAGAGGACTCCACAACAACCTAGTAGTCAGTAAGGTAGAGAAACCATGTATCTCCAAACTTCATGAATACAACTCTAGATGAGTTTATCACTAAAGAAAGCATAATGCAAGAACAAGAATTTCAAATACTCATATCTGAAAAAACAAGGTATTCACAATACTTATTTAAGACAAAGGATCAGATCTTAAAGTAATTAATAAATATAGTTGCAGCATTAGAGAATTATGCAATATTTAACATATATAGATAGATCACTTACAAAAATCAATAATAGTTTTCATATGGATTTCAAATAGATCATAATACCCTCTAACAAGCAAGAATTCAAATTTCAGAATTAAATCCAAAACTATTTATCATCAAAAAGGATAAAAATTATAGTCATTCTTATAGCAATTTGTATTTTGCCAGAATATAATAGGATCAGAATTTTTATAGATAGCTAAGTGGCCATAAATAGAATAAATAAAGTAATAGGATCCTCAGAGAACAAAATAATAAACATACAAAAAAATACAAACCTCCTTATCCAAAATTAAATATCTATGAAAAGGAAGAATATTAAAATTAAAGTATACAAAATAAAAGCACACTCAGGAATAGAATACAATGAGCAAGCAAATAAATTAGTATAGATAACACAAATTTATGACATGAAACTGGGAGAAAAAATATTAGAAATCCATCCATATATATATAAACATTCAACAATTATCTTACAATAAAACAATCAAAACCTAGACATTTCATTGAAATAAATAACACAACAAATAATTCAAGTGATACACTTAGCAAAATAAAGACTCCTAAATAGAATCAGATGCAACTTTAATGATCAAATAATTTCACAGATTCACTGGAAAACAACAACCAATCACTTGTAATATATCAAAATGAGCAATAATACAACAAACTGAAAAGATAAAAAATATAGAAGGTTCAATCCAAGTTTATAGAACAATGAACTGCCAACAAAAACAAAACTAAATAAAAAATTATCAACAATCTATTATAATAACAAATGCTTGCAATGTGAAGAAGTCGAGATATGTATCCATCTCTTTATCTGCCAGGAACAAAAAGAAAAGACATGAAACAAAATTAAAGAAATATTAGTAAACAATATAAATACACACAAGAAGCAAAAGCCAAAAGAATTCAACATGGATCTCATAATAGCAGAGCTGGATCTAAACTTCACACCACATTTCAAAACCTTTATTAGGGATATAATCTTCAAAAAAAATCTTTTACAAAATCAAGAAAGCTATCAAAGAAAAGTATATAAGAACCCAATATATAATAGACATAAGAACCCAGATAATAGAATACCTCCATGAAATATGAATCGACAGATGTGAATGGTTTCAAGAATGGAAATGCAAAGTAGATATCACCAAAAAAAAAGAGAGAGCAATCAAGTATAGCACAACTATATTAAATACTTACTTCATAGAAAGAGAGTTTCATATTAAAAGTCAATTTACAAAACTGGTGAATAGCTTTGACAGATTAACCCTCCAAATAGGGTGGTAACAAGCCACAAGGTGAGAGGTTCCCTTAGGGAACACCTTTCTATTGAGTTTTATTTGTAAGTAGATAGATAGTACAAAATAGATTCACAAATGTAATCTTCCAATGTAACTATACATCATAACAAATAAAACAAGGCTGCACCAGCATTTAAAAAAAAAAATAGAAACATGAAAACATGAAAACAATACTGAGATATACAGTGATTGATTCAGTTATAAAATCGAATGTTACTTTTTTTAGACAATCATACTTAATGTAGAATCAAAGAATGCCAAGTTTTATATTATCAACAGTTTTTATATTATACAGTATAAAAGTGCCAAGGAATTTCACGAGTACAATTATTACTTGCAATGTGATTCTTTGATCAGATGGTCTGTATAACACGTTTTCGCATTCTGCAAATTTGTTATTTCCACCCATATTCGTATATTTAGCCTCTCACCTCGTCCTTTTTACTTTGTTCATAGACATTATGCTTGGAGTGATTATTCAATTTCTGTGATATTGAGATACGCAAAACGATACATCAATCACATGATCTCGAATAGATACTGTACGTTCGAAATTCTCATCAACGAAGAAACATAATCTTTAACAGCCACTTGTAAAAATTTTTAACTTCTGAAAGTGTACTCATTAGTTCTCAGTATCACACCTAGGTTTACGGAACCACTTTTTGTACCGAAAAAAAGCCACATTGTTGACATCGATATTCGAGAAACTCGGGAAACGAGAATTTCTCATCTATTGCTAACAATCAGTATACACATCTCGCGGGCGAAAGTCAAAATCAACCCTGCAAAATCTGTTCCTTTTGACATACGAAATATGGTTATATTATTGACACAGCATACTTGCGGAATATCACACTTGACTCGCTGGTTATCAATCAACTACTTTTAACCGGTTCAACTCGCCTGTGTGCGATTAAAAGAAATGAACCATAGTAAAAAGACAAAGTCGGTGAATACCAACCAATTTATTGTCCTCTATAACTTGTGGAAACTTTTACGGAAATAATGCAGACTACATACGCAAGGAATTATATTATCAAGTACTTCTCTATAATAGTTTTGATTTTTAAAATACTTTTCTAGTGAGAAAAAAAAAAAAAATAAAGTATATACTGAAATAAAAATGGCAATATGATTGATATACATGTTATACCGACTCGGGGTATTATTAGTAAAGTAAATTATTATTCTCCTCTTCACCATTCTAACCTTCCACCTCTACCCGGAGCAAAGCTATTGTTCATTGAGCCACGATATAAATCTTTTATCACTTTCCCTTCTAGGACCGTCGACTCCACTATACTTTTGACATGGCACGGAATGACCCGACCATACCATATTCCCTGACCATCACGGTAAACAATCACATTACCGGCAAATTTATGACCTATATACGTTATGAAAGAAATAAAAATTCAACAAATTTGGCAATACTCCGCCCAATCACGTGATATTTTTTAAAAAGATAATTACCTCCTGTGTGACTACTCAAGAATACAGCAATACCATCACGACTGCGAGATTCCACATCTAGGCCTTTCGATCTCAATACTTTATCGAATTCCTCTTTCAATATAGGACCAGTGATACCACATCGTTTATCACGACGTCTATGAGAACATATCACGATCACCGCTTTATACGGCATTTGTTCGATGGCGAAACCGTTGGTGGACTCTTTTTCTTCATAAACGGATGACGATAAAAACTTTTTGTAAATTTCGGTAGCTTGTTTTGGTGTCACATTCTTAATAAGAATATTATCGGGAAAAAGCAGAATATCATTTCCTTTGGCGTCGTCATCCGTATTCTGACGACTACTATTCGTAATGACTATTCGTGGTTTTTCTGTTTCACTAGGAGAATCGTCTTGATTTTGAGTGGTTCCTTCAACTTTATTCTTCTTTTCTTTTTTCGGACAATCTTTTCGATTGACATTATCGCTTTTTATTACTTTGTGTAAGTGGGCCGCTAAACTACAACTTTCATCCTCGATGTGAGCTTGCCAATCCGATTTTCCGGTAGATATTAGCACATGTTTCACGTAAGGCTTCACAGTTCCATCTAATGTGGACTTACGATCGATTTTCAAGTAAGGATAATTTGGATGAAATGAACATGGGTCAGCGCAACCATTACATGAATCCTCCTCAACATCTAATGATATAATTTGGTCTTCTTTGGGAACTGTTTGTTGCGAAGCTTGCTCGCTCTTGTTTTCACGTTCGTCTAAAGTTTTGACCGAAGGACTTGGATTTATATGAGTGTAGATTGCTCCTGTTACTGCTTCATATACCCTGAAGCCAAGGCGACGAAGAGGTGACTTATCCATTATTTTATTATTATTTATCCAGGTGAATGAAAAAAAAATTTTTTCTTATTTTTAATGAACTCCGCAAGAATTTATCAGATTGTTTGGATAATTTTGATTGGTGGTCCGGATGCATATCCATGACATGATTTGTCGCCAAGCTTATCAGATTGTTGGACCAGTACACTTTCGGAAAATGATTACCTATGTCCGATTAAATTATTACATACAGCACTTGACCGGACAAGGTAGATTATTATCAGATCTTTTTCTTCACATGGACCATTTTAATAATTATGCTCCGAAAAGACCCCTATCAGATTTTTTAGTTGAACACCAAAAATCAGATGATGTGTTGCAGCCTCAATTACGTATTTTATGACTCATAATTAGAGAAGCCACCGTGCCGTATGTGTATACAATATGACAACGCACAAAGGCAATTACAGTAAGAATGGTAATCGCATGTATCATTAAAAAAGTTTGAAAAGCACGCACACATAAAATCGCTATTTTTAATTTATCCTATTTATAACAAACAAAATAAAGAATAGAACCATATCTAAGATTTACTGAAATTTTGTTTATAATTAAACCAGTTAATATTATAGTCGTTTTATTTAATATCAAATACTATAAATAAATTAAACTTTCGTAGACTACGTATCATAAAGTTAAGATCATTAATTTAACAAATATGCGATAATTTAAAATATTTACGTTATTCTTATTAAAAAATCTTTTTATTTTATTTTTAAAAATTATAAAACAAATATTTTATTTTTTTTTTATTTTTTATATACTTTTAGTTTTATCAGGATTTGCTAAATAAACAATTTTAAAGATTTTTATTTTAATCTTATAATCTTATTATATAGTACTTACAAATATAATCTTTCATATCATATATTTTAAATTTTTTTAAAAATTAATCTTATATCTTTTTTTGTATTTTAATATTTACTTTCTTATCTTAGTTTTGACTATTTCTTTATAATTTTTTTTTTTTAACTAGCAGTCAGGTCAGCATGGTTTGTCTTTATTGTATATATATCAGATATTTACAAATTATTTTGATTTTCACATACTAACTTATATGTCATCAAAAAACTATTTCTCTAGATATAACTTAGAAAATGATATTTTGCTTCTTTATTGACTTGGATAAATCCTCTAGTTAATGAAATCATTGTCTACAGGTCATTACTATAGATCATTCTAAATTCCAACTACAGTTAAAAATAAAATCATTTTCTTTCATAACAAATCCAATTCTTGATGATTTCTATATATTTCATTTCCTTTTTTCTTTCAAAAATTTCTTGTTCCAGATTTTCTGCAAGTGTGGGTTTTTCTTTCTATTCTTATATGACCTGTATAATGGATCAATACACATGTCTTTTGATTCGTTTGTCTTTTTCAATAATATTCTGCTTCTTTTTCCACTCTATAACTTTTTTACAATGACTATTCCATATGTTCTTCTTGAAATTTTTTCATCTTTTATAATAAAGCTTACCGATTATACTTTGTATAACTGTCAGGGGAATTTTGAGTTATATTTTGAGATAATTCTTCAAGAAAATAGTTTTGTTCTTTTCTATATATTCATAAATAGTATTGAAAAGACTTCTATCAGATTACTGAATCTCGTTTAACTATTTACTTGTTCAATTATTAATTGTAGAATGGACTACTTCTTTGTTTTTGATTTCTTTACTGATATATTAATTGATCTTTTCCTTTGTTTTTTTCCATATATTCTCTCTGATTTTTTTAATGGTTGAACATTCGAACAAGTGTCCTAAAGTTTCTTCTTGAAATTTACATACTGAACATGTCATTATGCTATAAATATTTGATTTCCTTTTTTTCAATATCTGTAATACTGGAAATTCATTATGAGTCAGTTAGTTAAAAAGCTTTTGTCTTAATTATCTTTGAAAAAGGTATCGAAGATATTGGATGGATTGAACTAATTCTAAAAGGTTAACTAGTCTATGATTTTGTTATTTTGAATCTATAGTTCTTGGATCCTTTTCTGTATTGTTCAATCTTTTTCTATTTTTTTTTTATTAAATGTCTTGACAAATTCTCTAATACTGATATCTATTATGTACTCTCTCCATATGACTATTGTCAGAACTATCCTTAATTCTGGTAGTTGATGCCAGATTATTGGATTTTCACATCTAGCTTATTTGGCAAGCAGATCTACTTAATTATTGAACTTATTGATTCCATGAACTTTGATCTTTATAATTTCCAAGTTGAGATCTTTCTTTTTAACTAAATTTTTGATTTTATTCCATAATGACCAATTAGCAGTCTTTGTTCATCTTCTTATTGATATCTTCACTTGTGCACTGATGGACTTTCATGTCTTAACTGCAATATTACAATCAGAGAATATTGAGACTGTTGTATTTCGAAGAGCTGTATATATTGCAATTAAAATAGTCAATATTTCTGTCCTGATTACTGATAATCATATTGATACCCCTGCTAAGAATTGCTTCACAACTTTATTGTTTTTTACTAGAACCCAAGCCAAACCCATTTCAAGCTTACTATCTTTTGTCCCTTTTTTATATGATCTATCAATGTAAAAAGTAATCTGAGTAGCTATATTCCTTCTATTATAATTCAAGATATCTATAAGTTCATTTATATGTTCATTTGATTGGATAGTTTGTCTTATTAGCATGACTTCCCAGTTTTCTACCTGGATTTCCACTTCTGGTTTAGATATTAGTGAAGTTCTTGCTTGTTGCCTTGTAACTATAAGCCAATCTGTAGGGTTACCAAGTAGAAGGACTTGTTTCCTTTTTCTCAAATTTTCAAATTTGTTTAGCTGTGGAAGCAGATGGACTTGTGATATATCTACTTCTTTTACTTGGGATAATCTATCTGATTGAAGTAGAGTATGGTTACTAGTAGGATTATATATCAACTGATATAGAACAAATTGAATTTTGTTGTTCAAGAATAATGTCTTTTCCAATCTATTTATTGGAGAGCTAAAGCAGGTTGCCTAGTATATTTTTTTTCTATCTGAATAAGCTGAAAAAGCTTCAGTTTGGATATTGTAACCTATCCAGTCTAGTCTGTGCAATAACTTTCTTAGAAGGTCATAATTCTCTGTTACCTTTTCTCAAACCTTTTTATATCAAGAGGGAATTTGATCTTTGCATTTATTAAAAAGAATTTGAATTGTTCTTCATTTCTTGAATGTCATTATAGTTGAATTGATGATTTAATCTAGGAATATAATCTTGTGCTTACGAAGTAATGGAATGGCTTTCTCATATTCTCTACTATTCTACAGTATTTACTTAATATATAAAATATCTTCCTGATAATTAAAAATTTCCTTCCATCTCCAACTTTGAAAGGTAATTTGTAATTCTTTGACCAGAATCAATGTTGCAGCTGTCAGATTTCCTTTGGTTATTTTATATGAGTTCACAGAATTATCTAAGATATTTCCAGGTTCACAGTTTTTGATTTGACTCTGTTTCAATCAGATTATAGTAGTCAAACCAGAGGCTTCACTATTGTTGAGTTGACAGAATAGTGCTGATATATGGCTTTTTAATTGTATTTCCCAGATACTTTTGAGACTGTATATTTGTTTGTTATGGATACAACTATTTGATATTGTTCCACAAATTAATGCTTTGTTCTTGAAAACCTTTCTGAACATAGCTGTGAGTTCATCATAAGTCTTATTATTCAGGTATATACAGTATATTGCATTCTATATTCTATTCTAGGAATCAGTACTCTATTGATAACATAATGAGCATGTTTTTCTGTCAACTT